AGAAGGACAGTGCAGGCATTAATCATATAGAATGAGTGAGCTGAAGAAGAATCAGTAGGGGAACGTAGCAGTTGTAGATGTACAATCACATTACAATTCACATAGGCGGTGGAGAGATGCAGAAGGAGAGCAGAGAGTGAGCAGACAAGACTTGACAGATACCCGAGAGAGAGAAAGAGATGAGAGGCCTACGAAAGCACAGGAAGTAGAGGCGGAAGACGAGAGAGAGAGAGAGTGAGAGAGGGAGAGTCACTAGAGCGCGCGAGACAGGAGAAAGCGCGAGGTATACGAGCCGAGTTTCAGGAGAGAGAGAGAAGAGAGATAGAGAGAGAGAGAGAGAGAGGATACGAGAGAGGGCCGAGAGATAGAGAGAGCGAGAGAGAGAGGGATGAGCGAGAGAGAGAGGAGATGACAGGGAGAGAGAGAGAGAGAGAGAGAGAGAGAGAGAGAGAGGGAGAGAGAGAGAGAGAGAGATGAGAGAGGAGAGAGAGAGATAGAGAGAGAGAGAGAGAGAGAGAGATGGACAGAAGAGGAGAAAGCGCGAGAACAGAGGGCGAGAGAAGCGAGAGAACAGAGAGAGAGAGAGAAAGAAAGAGAGAGAGAAAGGAGAGAGAGAGAGAGAGAGAAAGAGAGAAAGAGAGAGCAGGAGGAAGAGAGAAGCGAGAAAAAGCGAAGAAAGAGAGAGAGAGAGAAGAGAGAAAGAGAGAGAGAGTCGACGGAGAGAGAGAGATGAGAGGGAGAGAGAGAATAGAGCGAAAGAGAGAGCGAGAGAAAGAGAGAGAGCGGCGGTAAGATAAAACTGCCTGACTTTATTGTCAGTCGCAACTGATGCGCCGTGCCATGCCGCCTTTCGTGTCGAATTTTCATAGTAATTTCATGTACATAAAAATATTTTTCCAGTGCAAGCGCCGCGCGCTTAAGCCGGATAACCTACAGAGGAGCACGGAGAATCGACAGCGTTTCGCGAGGCAACATTGAGCCGGCGAGCGATCCGTGTTACGCGCGCCTCAGTTATACTAGAAGAGCTTATACGTACACGTCTGATGCGACTTGTGTTTGGACATACTTAATTCGATACTGTTTACATTCTGATATATTTATTTAGTTTTTTATTATTTTAAATATTATAACTGATATATTGGTATCTTTAAGCATGAACGCGCAATTACAAGCTTTGAGTAATCCACGCAATTTATATCAATGTATGGATACCTTAAATAGGTTGTAGATAACGCAGCTAGGCTATGGTACAAACTATTTATGCGATCAGCCTTTTATAAATGAATGTCGTTACAAATTGAATATATAAATAGTATTTGATCTAGTTAATATTCCTCACTGGTAAGTCATGTTTCTGAACATGTGCTCTCACACGTCCCCCGTGATCTTTCGCGCACGATTTGTACGCCTGCGGGCCACTGTCAGAACCTTTGCAAAAGAATTTACTTTAGATGTTCCTGACAACGGTTCTCTGATTATTAACTCACGTTGTGTACTAGCGCATGCTTTCACGATTGAAATACTTTTTAATAAATATACTCTAACTAAAATTTTCGAGGTACTTTTTATACAATGGTGATTATTTAAAAGATGTCCACAATAATTTGTAAAGAAACCTCTACATATTTCAGTAAAGAGTAAAGTGGTAGGATAATACAGTGCAGTGAATCACTGGTTGCGGTGGTGGGAATCTCCGCATGTGGAGTAGAATAAACTAGAGCAGTAGAGAAGTAGAGTACAGTTCAGTAGAATACAGTTCAGTAGAGTACAGTTAAGTAGAGCAGTATAGTAGAGTAGATTACAGTTTAGTAGAGCAGAGTAGAGTGCAGTAGAGTTGTTGTTAGTGCGTGCACCTAACCTTGAGCTCAAGGCTATGGCCTTGGCCTAGTTATGTAGAAACTTTAAAATTGGAAAATATAATGGCCTTGAGTTCAAGGCCATGGCCTTGAGCACAAGGCCATGGCCTTGAGCACAAGGCCCAAGGCCATTACATTTTCCAATTTTAAAAGTTCTACAAAACTAGGCCATGGCCATAGCCTTGAGCTCAAGGCCATATCCTTGAGCCATTTTCAAAATGTTTACATCACTCGATTAATGTCATGGTCAAGTTGTGTTTATATTTCGCGTAGCAACATCTCGAAAATATCTTACCGTAACAAGATTTGAACCCGGGATTCTTGAGTACCAGGCCAGCACGATACGCTAGCACCCAAACTCACCATTCCTTAGATTTTCAGAACGAATCTATGTGTTACATTTTACTCAACAAGAGTTTTACGAAAATATTTTACGAAGTTACCTTACAAGAATTGAACACGCGACAACCCAGTCCTATTCCAACATGTTACGCACACGCCTAAACTTACAAGTTCTGACAAGTTCAGATCTGATGTGTGTGTTACGTTTTAGTTTAACAGCAAGAAATGTCAGCAAAGAAGTCATTGCCGAGCATAGATTTTAATGCGGAAATTTTCATTTATAAACGAGAGAGAAAACCATTTATGATTAATAAAACCGCGCTATATTTATTATTGTTCATACTACCAATAATAATAATTTATAATACAGTCGTTCGAAGCTAATTAATCAAAGCAATATCCCTTCAAACATGGATTCACACAGTAAAATGTGGTACTCGCCTCTGGTTTGCTTGTCCGCAAAAACGAATAGATATATGGCCAAATAAATTCTAAAGAAATACCACATTACTTGCGTATATGCTTTAGGGGTAGCTATAGAACTAACCACACTAGAAATTTATATATTTGAGAGCACGTGTACGCCGAAACGGGACATACATTATAATTATATTGTAATATTTGTAATAATAAAACTGCGCCTATAGTTTTACAACCCCCTAACTAACCCACAGTGACGAGTAATAAACAGTAGATCCAAACCCCAACTGCGGGGCATCTACATCGAGATTAGTACTAGTTTTTAAAACAATTTCAAAAGGGAACATTCAGCGCTAAAACAAAACGCGTTTAGGGGGCTTTTTATCCTTCCCACAGACAAATAACTATGCATTTGATTGAGGTCACTCCCTCCGTAACAACTAACAAAATATCTAGCGACAACAACAAAAAACCATTAACGACACGAACACATGTAACTTAACGTAACGTGAAATTAACCCTGTGTTTTCTGGTTTCTCTGTGTTTTCTGGTTTTCTCGCATCTTCACTCGGTATTTCTCTGCTATACTTACTAACATTGCTAAAGACATTTCCTGGCACGAGAAAACACATGAACATGTGACTATAAATAGTTAATTATTATGCACATTGATAATAAATTAACCAAGAACCTTTCACAGAAGATTAGATTTTGGCTGTCACGTATTCAGAGGTTTTCATGAAATCAAATTCGGCCTCTGATCTCGCATACATAATCATTAATTATAGCAAATACCATTTTAATCAAACATAGGCTCTATGTCCCCCAGCGTACTGCTGGAACGTAACCTGGTACCAGAGCATATAAATTAACGTGATTTATATGCTCTGCTGGTACTATCTAATATGCCGGACCGTACCTCGCCTACTCCACTAACGAGTCTAGGGAGTCGCCTACGCTCTAATCCTTAACCTTACCTAACCATATCAGATAGTACCAGGGCTACGTTCCGCAGTACCCTGGGAAGACATAGAGCCCTATCGCAGCCCAAAGGACCGTATGGTTGAGCTCAACTTTTCACTCCCCGAGGCCACAAATGTGAGATTTACGGCCTGAAATACACGCGCATGTGTCGCGTGCCGACTATACCGCGTGTGCGCGTCCGTTAGCGTGTGAGTATGTGTTTTGTATGAGTGCTAAAACGCGTATTACAGCCGCTATAATCATCATTTTTGTGCTTTAGGGTTGGTGAAAAAAGTTTGAGGCTGAAACCCAGCCATTTGCCTGCTAACTTCTCACCGTCGAAACAAGGCCTATACGCGATACCATATTGTGAGAGGGGGATCACTTATTACCGAGCAGAATATAACCTGATAGGATATAGATTAAATTACCATATTAAATAGAATTAGAAATAGATAGAATATCAGATAATGAATGGAAAAAAAGTATTATTGGTATTTTTCTTGCGTTTTCGTTGATAAGTGATTCTATATGGCTACATTATTAATGCTAGTACTCAGTGCCTACATTGGTTCCACAATTGTGAATCATTTTTCTCAGGACTTTTCAATGACTTTCAAGACATGTTTTCAAGGACAATCTTGACAAGTAGTTTTAGCATTTTAAGGTCATCATATATACCTTAGATTCATATTTAAAGCAAAAATAGTTGTTTTACACCCTTAATTCAATGAGAGCAATCCTTTCTCTATAAATTTCTTGCTAATAGTACTGTGAGCAGATGCAATTGAAAAATTCTTCAGCCTCCAACCCATGAGAACAAAGGCCTACATTTCTCCTGTCCCTAATTCTTTACAATAATAACAAATAACAAACTCATTAAATTTAATCAAAAAATTCACAGAACTGTATCTGCCTAAAATTTCTTTTTCCTCTCTGTCTTTTTAAGTCATGGGTGTCATGCGGCAGGGATCTAACAACATGCCGACTTATTATAGAAATATTTACTCAGTGTTATTTTCATACACACAAGATTACAACACAAAGTGACAAATTGTGTAGCAAAATATGAACACGAGCTAATACAATAAATATTAAAATGGTGAAACTTTATAGTCTGCTAGGATAGCTAGTTTACAGTATTAGTAGTATAGTGCTACAGTAGGTTTTACAGTATTAATAATATAGTAGTATAGTAGTTTACATTATTAGTATATAGTAGTATAGTAGTTTACAGTATTAGTATATAGTAGTTTCTGATCTGCAGTACGTCAATTTTGACATCAAATTTGCTTCAAATCTGGATGAGTTTGACCGACCGGACAGCACTACTTGGGGGTGGGTGAGCTTAATTACCGGATATTATTAGCTTGATGACGACAGTGAAGATGACGATGAAGAGAAGACACAATAAAAGACAACTTCTCCGTATGAACATAGCATTTATTTAATAAATGTATGCACACAACAATACATCAAGCATCTGTAGACGGCAACACAAGATTGCCACGGAGAACGACAGACTGACACGGCACGAACCGCCTGAAGAGAAACGAACGGCTCCTATTAGGTGGCAGTCTAAACATGGCCGCGTGTCAGTCACCGTTACACCGCCAGATAGCAACAATGCACCTTCTCACGCTCTGACATCTACTACACACATTCACAGGGACTCCATCAAGTTATTTCGAAGTGATCTTGCGCTACTGGTGACGCAAATAGTGCGGCTATTCTTTGTATTCACCCTGCAGTACACTTAGTTTTTAATGACAGCTTACCAATAGATATTCCAACGTCTGGGGACGAAACCATCTATAAAATTATGCAATATATACAGACGAAGCCAGAGTATAACACGATAACACGAATTTCTCAATAAATATAAAACGGTGGTGCAGGTAGCATATTACAGTGAGGATTCACAGAAAGCATATAAACAAATGTAAGTCTTGCTCATTTGATAGTGATATATTGGACCGTGGGATGTAGTAATGCAGGAATCATTGAAATATCCATGATTACAAATTTAAATTTTGCTGCCTGCTTTCTTTATCCTGAATGAATATTGGCTTGTGCCTTTCAAGCAGTTGACATGCTGCAATTCTTTCATATTACGCCCATAAAATCAACACAGATACTGACTGTACGAAACAAACAAATGAAACACAACAATGTTTCCGGCACCTATGTGAAACGCGGCGCAATTGCAGAATGCAAAGTCGGCCGTTAAGTGGAAGTAGCATCGGATACCCCCCTGGGTGACTGCTGAAGATGCAAAAATATCACGTAAGGATGCTGACCGAATTGCTAGGCAGCACTACAACCAGTACACGTAACTCATGCTAACCAGCCCCGCTCTCGCAAAATCGCCACCCGTGCTGCCCTCTATACCACGCGCCACCCTGCCGTTGTGAAACGACCAACGTCACATCAATCTATAGCTCATCGTCCGGTTCATGTCCATGGGAGTCTGAGGCCTGATTCTCCTCTTCTGAAAGCAAACGCAGGTAATATTAAACCAAACCCCTGTCAGAAATTCATTGCTCAACTGAGCAAGCGACCGAAAGTCCAGACAGGCACGGCGGCCATTGGCCAGAAATCTCCCGCCAAAATGACATCGTCATGAACAGCATGTAAACCGTTTATGTGCTGTTGGGTTGTGCTTTTCATGCGCTGTTGTTTATGTTCTCTAGTTTATGTGTCCTTCATGTCACATATTCTGAAATAATTTCAAATAAATATACTTGCTTATAATTACTTACCACTTACCCAAACAAAATGCAACCCAAACAAGTGTTAATAACTTTTTTGATATTGATGTTAACCCTTTCATTTTTCACATTTA